CACTAAAAATCTGCTCTCCAACTTATCTTTGCTTTTCTGTATATTATGTGTGTTTTTCTCTGACTGCTTTTAAGATTTTCTCTTCATTACTGGTTTTAAGCAATTTGATTATGGTCTTTCCTGGTTTGGTTCTATTCATGTTTCTTATTCTTGATGTTCATTGGAATTTTTGGATCTGATTTATAGTTTTCATAATGTTTGTGAAATTTTGGGCCAGTATACATTCAAACATATTTTTCTGTACCCCCCTACTTTGAGGATTCCAATTACTTATATATTTGGGATTTTGAAGTTGTTTCAAAACTTACTGATGCTCTGTTCATCTTTTCTCAGTCATTTTTGTCTGTGTAGTTCATTTAGAGTAGTTTGTATTGCTGTCTTCATTTCCACTAATCTTTTCCTGTGCATTAGCTAATGCCTTCAATCTAAACAACCCATTCCAGTATACATACACACACACACACACACACACACACGTGTATATGTATGTAAAACTATAAATATATATATAAAATATATATAACTGTAAATATATGTATATAACTATATTTATATGTTTTTTTCACAGACATTGTTCTTTTCATCTTTAGAAGATCAATTTGGGACTTTTATATCTCCATATCTCTACATGATTAATCTTTCCTCTAGCTACTAGAATATATGGAGATTAGTTATAATATATGTTTTATTATCCTTGTCTACTAATTCTGTTGTCTGTACCCTGAGTCAGTTTAAATTGATTAATTTTTTCCTCATTATGAACTGTATTTTCCTGCTTCTTTGCATGCCTGGAGATTTTTTATTGAATGCTACATAATGTGGATTATTGCTTGCTTGATGCTGGATATTGCTGTATTCCTATGAATATGGTTTAGCTTTGTTATGTGACTCAATTATGTTACTTGGAAATAGTTGATCCTTTTGGGTACTGCTTTTAAGCTTTGTGAGGTAAGGCCAGAACAGCATTTAATCTAGGGCTAATTTGTCCCCACAATTGAAGCAAAACCCTTTTGAGTATACTACCTGACTTCCCATGAATTAGATTTTTCACAATTGCAGGTTGGAATAGGTCCTATGCCTGTGTGAGTCCATGACTGTTCTCTTTAAAGTGTTTCTTTCCCCAGCTGCAGCTGGTTTCCTCATGTGCATGAGTTTATCAGTTTTCAGCTGAATATTCCAAAATATCCTCTTCAGAATTCTCTCTCTGTTCAGCTCTCTCCTCTTCAATGTTCTTCCCTATGAACTCTAGCAGCCTTGGGATCTATGGACTCCCAGGCCCATCACCTCAATCTGGCGACACTTCTCGCCCTGCCTTGGTATCCCTCCTTTCACCATGGCCCAGAAACTTTTTCCAGACAGTAAAGTGGAGCTCCCTTTTTTGTTTTCCATGTCTTTGGGATAACTTCTTTTGTTTCCTGATGTCCAATGTGTGTAGAACCAATATTTTGTATATTTTGTCTTGCTTTATAGTTATTGTAGGTGGAAGAATAAATCTGGGTCAGAAGGACAAGTTCAGTATGCCTGTATTCTTTTAACAGCATGAGATGATATACATGAGGGCCCCTTTAAAAAGAAAATTACTACCCAAATGTATGGTATTTATTATAATTCTTCTGGTAACAGGCCAAGTGTACATGAGTTACTTATTTTATGTATATATCTCCCAGGGATATCTATATAAATCCAGTAGAAATTTGAGTTCCTGCTACTTTCTCTGTTTTCAGAGTTCCCTTATTACTGCATAGTAACTCACATTCCCATGACTTAGGGGCCTCTGGAATGGCTATCCCTGATAAAGATCTGTTAAGTTAAACTAAATTTGGCCTGTGGATGCCTCTATACTGCAAGTCCCTCCATAAGGAACTACAACCTATCTTAGTATGTAAACTAACTGAAAGCCTAATTTAGGAGTATACTTTTGTAACAAATAGCTGAGTTTCAGCCAATCACAGCAGCCAAGCTTCGGTCAATCACAGGTGGCCAACTGTACAAATAAGTCAAATGCTGAGCTGTAACCAATCAAGCTGTTTCTGTACCTCATTTCTGCTTTATGTCCATTAATGCTGCCTGCCGGTGTTGCAGAGGGGAGCTCTCTGAACCTCTTCTGGTTGCAAGGGCTTCCCAATTCGGGAATCATTCTTTGCTCAGTTGAACTCTGTTAAATTTAATTTTTTTAAAGCTTTTCTTTTTAACTTATCCCAGACTCTGCCTTGATCTCACCATCATCCTCCAGGAAGATTCACCTATACCAGGCTTCTTTTTTTTCTTTAACTTTAACAATAAAGACTAGGATAAGTAAAGACAAATGAGGATGTCAATTTATTGAGCATCTACCATATGCCAGGTGTTCTATATATTTTCTCTAATTCATTTAAAACCACTAACTATGAGGAATCAGAGAAGGTTTTTCAGAATGCATGCTTTCTCAGGTAAGCCATAAAAGATGAGTAGGAGTTAGGTGAGAGGAGGCATGGAGTGGGTGTTCCAGACAGAGGAAATGGCATATGAAAAGGCCTGGAGGCAAGAAGAATGTGACTAATTTGAGGAACTTAGTTCAGTTTGGCTAAAAACAGAAAGTAAAGAAAAGGTGTGGGAAGATACGGGGAGGGGTAGGAGAAGGGGAAAGATGAAACTGGAGAGTTAAAACATTGTGAGGGGCTTTGAAAATGATACTAAGGAGTTTGTACTTTTATTTCTGAGGGCAAAGAGAAATTCCCATTGTATTTTTGGCATATTACTTTAGTTATGGTGAGGAAAATGATTTGAAAGGAATAAAATTGAGTTATATCTAGGGAGATGGAGAAAAGTATACATTGATTCCAAAAATTCAATAATTATCGGCACTCCCTCAGCCATTTATGCATTTAAAAATATATTGACTGCCTACTACATACTAGGCACTGTGACTAAATAATTGTTAAATAAATATGTTGAATTATTATAAATCAGATATCATTTATCGAGCACTTATTTTGTGCCGGGTACTGTGCTAAGTGCTATATAAAAACATTAATATTACCTTTTAATAAGTGAGGAAACTGAAGTAAAGAGAGCTCAAGCATGCTAATGCCATATAGCTAGTAAATGGCAGAGCCAGAATTTGATCTCAGATCAGTCTGAAATCCTGCCAGATTTGGCCGTGTTACTTGAGCATCAATTGTTTCACACATGTAAATTTTACTTAATATCATCTTTTAAGCTAACAAAATATTTTGAATTAATTTTTTTTTGTAATCTGTTTCATTTTTAAATGGAAACATAATGGATTATATGTATTTGTGAGGTACTGAGTTGAATATCAATACCTGTGTACAATGAGTGAGGATGGAATCAGGATAATTAGCATATTCATCATTGCAAAATATAATTATTCTTTGTATTAAATAACCAATTTCTCACTAAACCCCCTTTTTCTCCCCCTTTCCCACCTCTAGTAACCACATATCTGTTCTATCCTTCTGAAAGTTCAGCATATTATTGTGATTATCATTTGTTTTATTTCTTCCTTCCTTCTTATTTATTTATTTATTTTCTGCCACTTATAAGTGAGGACGTACAGCATTTCTCTTTCTCTACCTGGCTTATTTCAGTTAACATAATTTTCTCCAAGCTCATTTATGCTGCTGTGAATGTCAGAATTTCACTCTTTTTTATGGCTTAGTAATATTCCATTGTATATATATACCATATTTTCCTTATTCAGTCATGTGTCAATGGACATTTAAGTTGGTTCCATATCTTGGCTATTGTAAATAGAGCTGTGATAAGCATGACGGTACAGGTGTTCCTTCAACATGATGATTTCTGTTCCTTTGGGTATATACCCACTAGTGAGATTGCTGGATCATATGATAGTTCTGTCTATAGTTTTTTGAGAAATCTCCATACTGTTTTCCATAATGGCTGTACTAATTTGCCATCCCACCAACAGTGTAGGAGTGTTCCCCTTTCTGTGCATCCTCTCTAGCACTTTTTATTCTCTGTCTTTTTAATAATAGCCAATTTAACTGGGGTAAGATAATATCTCAGCATGGTTTTCATTTGCATTTTCCTGATGATTACTGATGTTGATCATTTTTTTCTATACCTGTTGGCCATTTGTATGTCTTCTTTTGAGAAATGTCTATTCAGTTCCTTTTCCTATTTTTCAATCAGATTATGTTTTTTGGTTTTTTTTTTAACTGTTAAATTGTTTGAGTTTCTTGTGTAGTATGGATATTAACCCCTTTTCAGATGTATAGTTTGTAAATATTCTCTCCTATTAGGTAGGTTGTCTTTTCACTCTGTTGATTTTTTCTTTTGCTGTGCAGAAGCTTTTTAGTTTGATATAATCCCATTTGTTTATTTTTTCTTTTGTTGCTTGTGCATTTGGGGTCTTGTTCATAAAGTCTTTGCCCAGTCCTACATCCCAAAGTGTTCCCCAATGTTTTCTTCTAAATATGTTGTAGTTTCAGTTCTTATATTTGAGTCTTTAATTCATGTTGAGTAGATTTTGGTATATGGTGAGAAGTACGGGTCTATTTTCATTGCTCTGCACATGAATATGAGCAACATATGTGCCATTTGTCCTGGATTTCCATGAAGAAGTTGCCTTTGCTTTGCAGGTAAGGGATAATTTTACATATATCTACATGAGCATTTAGGTAAAATTTGGAGCACTCAAACCCCACATGAATTTTTCATTCCCAAGACTGACTTAGATGATGTTAAGGGTTTTTTATTTTTTTTTAATTTGCTTTTTCCCATTCTGTGTCTACTGAGTAATTTTATTTTGAAATAGGAGAGAGGAGAATACATGCTTCAATAATGTCACCGTTTCCAGTTGAAGATATTGTGAACTTGTTTATCTAAACACATTTTATTTGGGGTTAAGTATGAATTTTCAATAGATGTTTTTTAGATAACGAAGCAGTAATTCAAATGCAATTATATAAACAAGAAGATCAGCAGTGGATTACCCTGAAGAGTATAAAATGAACCAGGAGCATTAGTCTGGGTCATCACAGCATCAGCTCACCAATGCAAAGTAAGGTAGGTGTCTATACTGAGAAGGTTTTGTGACATGAAATGTTCTTATTCTAATTTTCTTTCATTTTCACCATTTTAGCATTTTTAAAAAAATGGCCAATGCTGAGAGATAATGTGCTTTAATAGGCTATAAAATTTTAAATTATTGCTCCAAATTGTTCAGTAGTGGGTGAAGGTGAGTAAACTATATATATAAGGATAAGAAGAAATTCTATTGACTTAAAGAGAAACAACTGATCTATCCTCTAATTAAGGAGGATCGATGTACATAGCTTTCTCCTGTTTACATTTTGATTAAATGTCTTTATTAAGTGAATAATCTGTATATTGTCTTCTCAATTACTAATGGTCATCTTTGATGAAAATATACATCTGGGAAATCTTAGAGTAATTTCAGTTTTTAGTACCTACAGGGGTAACATACTCTGTATTACAAGGTCTTTTTAGTTATTTAATAGCTGAACCCTCTTGGGTAGTGTCCAACACACACACTTGTCTTATGTACATTTTTCTCTCTAGTAAAATGCACTGCTTTAGTGAAGTTCAAAGATTGCTTATAAGATGGACAATTGATTCTTTTCTTAGTGTAGTAAGGGATTTGGAGAGAAAAGATTGGTGAAGGAAATTGGCAGAGCAGAGAAAAATGTGCTTATTAAGAATGAAAGCAATGACAGCAAAAGAAGAGAGAAAGGGTGGAGAAAGGGGTAAAGGAAAGAACATATCTTGCAATAAGGAAAAACATTGAAATGGGACATAAATAGTCATGCCACTGTAGGAGGCATCTGTCATTATTTAGAGCCTGCCCGAAATCATGCCTTCTGTGTTTAGGTGCTCAATAAATTATTTGATAATTTCAGAAGAGGCAGGTAAGTTGTAGAGATGAGAACCTGGGTGACAATAAGAAAGAATTGTGGCAGATGATAAAGGAAGGTACTAACTAACACTGATTTATATGGTGTTATATAGTTATATAATTTTTCTTATGTAGAGTTCCAAATGCTTAACATGTATTGTTTTATTCTTTTTTTATTATTTTAGGAAGAGGCATATGGAAAAATGAAGGCATAAAGTTATTAAATTCTCAGTTATACACAACTACAATTAAATCTGAAAGTAGAATTCTAGATTGATAATTCTTAGATAAGGGATCTGACACTAATTATCAAGTAGAATCATAGCTTACTTGTACTGCAAAGACTTTCATGATCATCTTCTGGTTCTAAGCCTTCCTCTTATAGATGAAGAAATTGAGGTCCAGAACGATTCTGTGAGTGAAGTTTTACTATTTTCAATAATGAAGTAAAGGAGAAAAAATAGTTCCTATTTTCTTTACATCTACAAAGTTGAATAGTTACTGTGCCTGGTAATTTAGTACTTTTAATTTTTTACTTTTGTTAGTTTAGAATTGTATATTTGTAAGAGGAACTTAAAAAAAGTGGAGTGTCCATAGTGAATATGGAAATAATGGGAAAAAGTTCCAAAGCAATTTTTTATCCTACATTTTAAAAAGGGTCAGGTGTATTTGTCTCTTTCTGTTTTGCAAATGGGGAAATAAGGTCCAGACAGATTAAATATTTTAGTCAATTTCTCATAAATCCATAGGAGAGTTCTGTCCCTTATCATCTAGACCAACATTCTCATCACTAGGTCACTACACCTCTATATAGAATCATAGAGCTAGAAGTTAAAATGTGTGAAGTTAATTATTTCCTATGGCAAAAACACAGTAGCCGGCTGTCTAGTTAGTTAGGCAAGAACTACATGATCATGGTGAGTAAGTATTTTACATAATTTACCTAGTTAATATTTTAAGATCCTGCAGAGGATCGTCTAGGCTCTAAAATAACAGAACCAACTCAACACCACAGAGGTATCTCACATTTGAGAAACACTTGAGAAAATCAGACTCCATGAATAAGAAATTATGTTTTTGATTCCTAATTCAAATACCAAAAAACCTCCAAGGAATGCTGAATATGCAAAATTTTATTTTAAGAGTTCACCAGAAAACTCTTCTTATTTTAACCTTTAATACTAAAAAGTCTTCCTAAAATGAGTTAATTCACTTCCTCTTCTATTAAGAAGTTAGTATAGTAAGCATAAGGAAATCTTTGATAATTGTGGGTCTCAGAGTCATAATTTGGAGTTTTTTCAGAGCACTTAGAATAATCTGTAAATTTTTTTATTTATGTTCATACTTAACTCCCCCACCAGACTGTCAGCTCTTTAGGTCAAGGACCATATCTTATCCATGTTGTGCCCCTTAATGTCTGGCTCAGATGCTCAATATATGTTTATCCAATTTATCTGCAATTCTCATTCTAGGAATAGGAAATTGTTTGGAATTGGAATGACGACTAATCTCTGGAAGGTGACACTTAAAATAAATCCCTGGTGACCTGTGTAACGTGGTTTTCATTTTTTCTTATATGTTGATTGAAGACAAAATTCTGGTTAACTGAGGCTGAGTCTATAGGGTTTCACTTAAGGGAAGCTTTAGAATATGCAGCTTAAAGATTCTGTTGGGATATGATTGACAGATTTGAGCAAGTGTTAATACTTTTTGATGATTGGATAAAAATGTTTAGAGAATTATAATTTATTTAATAGAACAAGCAAACAAGTTTGTGTTCATAGATAACAACACTTTCTTTACTGACAATGATACTTGAGAAGGAAAAAGAATCCAAACATACCTAGCTATCTGTACAAGATTTGGGAGATGAAAAAATCTTCTTAATCTTTGAGGTGATCAACTTACATCCAAAAGTCTGAAATTTGATTACCCTCTCACAGTAGCATAACTAAAATAATTATATAAGTCATAACATTATCCATATCATTATGATGTCCAATTGATATAAAACAAGTTCTCCATTAGACAGGCTCTATTAGGTGCATGTTCTGCTTCTGCCCGAGGCACTATGGACCCTTTGTTGTCTTACATTCAGCTGAAAATTACTGAATGTGCATAGCTAACCCATAATGGATCTGTCATCCTTGATGGTATTATTGTCATTGTGTCAACCTATATTTTTTGCCTCTGTAATCTTTTTGATATAATGAGTTCCACATATCTTTTGTGTAAAATAATCTTTTATTTTTTCCAACTCTGCTTCCTTCAACCTTAAAGGAATATCCTAAAGGTTCAGAAGAGGGGGTTTGTAGATTTCTGAGACAGTCCCTTAACACCAGTGGTAATTTTAGTTGACCTTTTCTGTTCTTTCTTTGGCTTCATGATGTCTTCATTGATAGCCAGTGGGTAGAATTATATGCAAGACTACAAGCATTGGGTGTTACTGAAGTTTGGTATGCTTTTTTTTTTTTTGTTTCTTCACCCTTTCTGATTATGAATAAATAGTTGATTGGCCTTTTAATCTATTGACCAAAGTCTTTAGAAAACTACAGTTCTGGGAAAGCCCTTCCTGAAGCATAACCGTTAACTCACTTCCTGTAATAGTAAAGGCATGTAATTGGATTATTTTTCCACTAAATGAATTATTTTACATATAGTTGATGTACACATCTCTGCCATTTTTCTGTTGTGGTGTTTTTAGTTAGCTTTTCATGTCACTGCCCAGTGGAACGTAGTAGTGGCACTTGTAAGCAGGACCTCCACTACGTGAGCCCCTTCACTATGGATCATAGCCACATCTAAGTGAATACTGGAAGGTTATTGAGAGTATTAAATATGTAAAAACAACTAATATATGGCCTATGATAAAGAGGTATTTAATAAATGATAGTTGTTATTATTGGCTCTGTTTGTGTGTATGTGTGTTTGTAAGCTCTTTCCAAATGTTCCTTCTGAATGTCCTGAAAAGATACATGTAATAGGTTCTTTAATTTTATCTTTGATTTAGCATGACTGCTACCTTCCTGATGTCCATGCTTTTTGGCCTTGCATGTGGGCAGGCAATGTCTTTTTGTGTTCCAACTGAGTATACAATGCACATCGAAAGGAGAGAGTGTGCTTATTGCCTCACCATCAACACCACCATCTGTGCTGGATATTGTATGACACGGGTATGTAGTTCATCTTGCTTCTTTTCGCTACAAGTTATATAAAGCTTGAAGCAGTCCATTCCTATCTAGAAAGGAAATGAGGCAAATCACAGCCTCATTTCCCAAATCTAATTATTGCCTCCTTAGAAGTAGAATGCACGGGTTACAATATTAACACTATGTGGATCTATTCACCACAATGGGTACAGATAATTTTATAACAGTTTATGTCCCAAATTTATTTAAACCTTATTTTGTTTCCATGATCCAGGATGAAAAAGAAGAGGGTGTTACTTTTGACTCTGTAGGATTCAGTATGTTTATGTTAAGTTGGTATTGGGGAATGCAACTAAAGAATCCTCCCCCAGTTATATTTGTGGCAAAGGAATATTAAGTTGATTTTTGTCTATTTTAATTATCTATATGTTTCCTAAATTCTTATCACATAGTGCTCTCTTTTCTGTTCTTTCCTCAGGATATCAACGGCAAGCTGTTTCTTCCCAAATATGCTTTGTCTCAGGATGTTTGTACATATAGAGACTTCATCTATAGGACTGTAGAAATACCAGGGTGCCCACACCATGTTGCTCCTTATTTCTCCTATCCTGTTGCTATAAGCTGTAAGTGTGGCAAGTGTAATACTGACTATAGTGACTGTACACAGGAGGCCATCAAGACAAACTATTGTACCAAACCTCAGAAGTCCTATCTGGTGGGATTTTCTGTCTAACTTTAATAGCAATATGATTTGCAATTTGGTTAAATGTGCTTACCTGGAATAAAACAAATAAGATATCATTATGTTTCACAATACCTTGTGTACATTTGAGTACTGCTTCATCCATCCTCATACTCACACAGGCACTGGAGAGCTTAAGCGGTCTTAGAAGAAAAGGTGAAAGAAAGAGCCTTTCAAGCTCATACGAGGGATAGTTCACATGAAAGTGCAGAATGGAGGTAAAATGGAGAACAGGAACATGACATGCTAATGAAAGCCAGCCTTGAGCAGGCTCTCCTAACGAGGGCTGGGAGGTTTGTCTTGACATAGAAAGTGAATGTGGGATCACTATAGAGTTATGGAGAGAAGGTAATGTGATCGGAAGCTGAAGAAACACATGGCATCGGGGTACTGAAGACATCTACTTCCACAGGCTAGAAGCAGGTGGAGAGTAAGGAATACGTAGAATCTACAATATAATACTTAGTCCTAGGCACTCAAGTGCACTGGATAAAACTACCAAAACTCAGTAAAGAGTATAGGAACTATTCTTTTTAATTTAATTACTCTGGTGGGCCAACTGACCTATGAAAGTTATACCACAAAAGATTAATGTACAAAGCCTAGAAGGTCAATTTACAAAGCCTAGAAAGGAGGCCGTGATCATTTTACATGTAGAAGTCTAAATCCTTCGTAGTCCTTCAAGTAATAGGAGATAATTTCCAGCATTTATATCAAAAGCGACTTGTGCTGTGTTGACTTTTGATGTCATGAAAAACTAGTAGGATTATGAAAGGTTTTAGAGGCAGGTGGAGAGTGCTAAGGGATTTAGTAAGGTAAAAACATCCTAAATTCTGATCTAAACCTTAGCAATATTGAAACATTGTTTTCTGGTAAATGTACTTGGTAAGAGGCTATTTTTCTTTTCCTTTCTTAGATACTCTTTCATGACAGTTTGGGTTCAACAGATGCTTGAAGTGAGACAGACCTAGTGCCCTGCAGACTTGACCTCAAAAATACTATTTATCCTTTACTTGTCTATTACTCTCCATTCTTACGGCCACCATCACGGTGAAAATCAGTTGTCAGCAGAGCCAGTTAGCTCTTCTGTATCCCACAGCCCCTGGTTAAATTCAGCTGGGCATCTTGTAAATGCCCACATGCTGACAGTACCCGGGTGAAGGTGGGGTGTGGGAGGTAGACTGATGAGCTGATGCAGATGGGTTAGTACAAAGCCTGTGGTTCGCCAATGGGGAGGGAAGAGTTGTGCATTTACATACAAAAGAGTCAGGAACCCACATTATATTTATCTTATCTGAAGTTGATATTTGCATGGTCTCCAAATATTAATCTGGAGTTTGGGTTCTCAGATCACTTGGAAATATGTACACTTAAAGCTGCATAACACTTGTCTCGGATCCCCATCCTGGCCAGCTACCAAACTAATAAAAAAACAAAATTGTGTGTCAAACATAGATTTTTTTTTTCTTTAAAAAGATGACTGGTAAGGGGATGTTAACCCTTGACTTGGTGTTATCAGCACCACACTCTACCAAGTGAGCCACGGGCCAGCCTCTCAAACATAGATTGTTGATTAATGAGTAAAATGTCTAATGCTCAAACCTAACTGGCATTAGTCACAAATGACTTTTGTGGATTCTGAAAAAAAAATTTTTTTTTGAGGACTTGAACTGTGGAAAGGCTGAGAGATTCAGATCAAAAGAAATTACTTAAATGGGCTTCTTCAACCTACAGGGAGAAGGCTAGGCCTGGACATGTGCGGTGGGCCTGTACCATCATGGGCCACCGAACTCTAGAGTAGGAGCATCAGAGACAACTTGTTCTCTCCTACTGAAGGAATCCATCTGGAATAGATGCACCCCTGAATTATATTAAACTATTCTTGAAAGTGGAGTTGTCTAAGACAGAGAATCCTTAGAAAAGAGCTTAGGGATTGGGATGACCAACAATTTGCCTCAACTGGATCCAGAAACTTGAGCATATGAAAATGCTGTTTTGGAGGGTCTTGGTGTTTTTTGGGTTTAAGAGAGGAAGAAAGGATAGAGAGCTCAGAAATGGAAAGGCAAAAGACCATTGCCTGCGTAATGGGAGAAAGATGGAAACCGGAACATCTTCTGAAGTGATCCTTAAATTCAACCTAAAGTTCGAAGAGTTGGTTCTTGGCAGAGGAAAAAAGAAGTCTCTCTTATTCCTCATTTAACTGTGAAATATAAAAGAAAATTCTAGTAATAAAAGCTCTCCTTTATATAAAAAATTGCCTTTTGTTTTTTTAAAAGAGCAGCAAGTCCAAGTCTCAGTGTAATACATTTTCTTTATCAAGGTAACTTCCACTCTAATCCTATTGTGCAATGTTGGGTTCTTCCCTACCCTCTCATCTCTCAGTTAATTCCTACTTATCTTTTAAGACAACTCTGCCTCACTTTCTCTACTTCTGCTCCCCTCCTTCCACCTGCTATTTCTGCCTGCTTAGCATCTGAAAGAAAGTGAGCCCAGATGCCCCTACCATTCAAGCTTTATTAAAGAAAGAAACTTGCAGGGCTGTGCTCAGAGTGTCAGGCAGCCTGGGGCTACCCTGAAAATGGGGGACAGCACCAGGCATGGGGGTGGTAGAGCTTATATTGGTATGTTGGCGCCAAGGGCTGGGTGATACCATCAAGGACGGTCATTATGCTAATGTGGATGGGGTGGAGAACTGCATCCTTGCGGAAGGAAAAGGGGTTTCTGTTTAAGTTAGGAGGCTTCTGTAAAGGGAAGGGGGGAGGGGAGGGGAGGAGGTGGGTGGCGCCATTGTGTACTTGGGCTGGTCTAAAGTGGCGCTGGTTATGTTGCAGATCTATCAGCATCCATGTCCCTTCTTCAAGGTGGATTTTCCTTTGGGGGTTCTCCTCATCCCCACATTTAGTTCAAGTGGTTTAAGTAGAGCTGATGGGGGTGGGTATGGTGCTCAGGCTCAACCAAACCTGACTGGTTAAGGGATGGGCATGTGACCCAATCTCTTCGGGTAGGAGTCAGTCCCAGAGCTGTTATTCTAACTATTGGAAAGAAGAGTGCTTGGCCTATTGTCATTCCTCAGATGATAGAAGGTGAACCTGGAGCCACTGCTGGCCATTTCTGGCATCTCTTGGAAACAGCCAGCCTGAGAATAAAGCCAACCCAGGAGAGAGCCAGAGAGGCTGAGAAGGAAAGACTTATTGATATCATTTGAGCCTAACCTGAAGCTGGCTTCACCCCTTAAAGAAACCATAACTTTTCTTTTCTGCTTAATTAGTTAGAGTCGGGTTTCTGACATTTGCAACTGAGAAGTGTAACTGATTCAGCATCTTTCTCACTAGTTTCAGAAGATGCTCCTGATTCCATCTCCCATCTCCTCCAGGACCCTGCTGTTCCCTCTTGTATCTTCTCTTGCTTCCTCTTTCTTGACTCCCTCTCCTCAGTATGAAGCATCGTTCAATCTCTTCCTATCCTTTGGAAAAAAAAAAAAAAAGCAAAAGTAAAACCAAGCAAACAGCCCCCTCTTGACCCTGTGCAACCATCTAGTTATTTGTACCCTCTCCTTGAGTTCTTATTCCAGGTTCTTCATGAAAAAGGCCACTACCCTGAGCCATCTACTTCCTCACTTCACATTCTTTTCTCAGTCCTCTACAGTTTGGCTTCTGCTCCTATTCTCCCTTGAAACTGTTGTCAGTAGGTCAGCAATGACTTTCTAATGATCCAATACACAGGACACCTTTCAGTGCTGCCTGGCCTAGTGTGCCTAGTGAAGTTCACATATCTGGATTCACAATGTAATACATTCATGGCATTTATAATCAGTCCAAATGAGGACGAAATCAATATTTCCTTCTTTTTTCATGCCTTTTCTTTCTACCCTTCTTCTCCAAGATGAATCAAAATCTATGCTGTGGTCTTTAGCAGGCAACAGTAACGTAGGTCTGGATCGTACTCTTGCTTGGTAATTTCACTTGATGCTGTAGTGGTGAAGATTCTAAACTTTGTGAAAGAAGAGCTAGTGCTGTCATCACCTTATGTGTGCTACTGGCCCTTTAGAAACTGTTAAATGTAGAGCATATGAGAAACATGGGTTTATATTAATAATTCCTTGGATGTCCTAAGGAATTACACTCAGTTTAGTAAAATACAGTTTAGATGGCAGCTACCAAAGGAATGCAGGCAGCTAAAAAAGACTCTCCAGGCTGAGATAAAGAAATGGGTGGAGAGTAAGGAATTGTGGGTTTTAATTTACTAGAGAAGAGGATTCTAATTTTCTAAACTTTATCACTGGGGATTTAATCTACCCCTCCTACTTTTGACTTGGCTAATTCATATAGGTTCTTCAGGACTTAGTTTAGAGATTCCAATATTAAGGAAACCCCTCTCCCCTGAACCCCCCCCCAAGTTTGAGTGGGTCCACTCAGGGTTAATGATTATCATAATACTTATCTCATGGTAATATACCTGCCTGCTTTTCTCCACTTTAAGCTCCTTGACAGCAGAGACTTGTCTTGCCCATCTTAACATATCAGTATTCTTACACAGAACTTTTTTCAAATGCACAAAACAGTAATCCCCAAACAAAGTGAAAAACCAATTCCAGTATTAGTGCGGGTTTCATCTTACAAGGTAGAGCAGGCCCAGAGACAAGTATAGGGACTCTGGCTATGGCTATTGATATCAAGTCTTTGAATTAAAATAGAATTGGGAAACATATCAAAAGCTATTCATTAATTCAACAAATGAATGTGTTCAAATAGATAACTGATATTATATAGAAGTATCTTCAGTTAGGCATGATTTCTAGAAAACTGTATGACTTATAATTAAAAAAACTCCCCTTATCAGAGTATCTACTATAACAAGAGCTAATATTCACAAATTGCTAGGTGTGCTAAGCACTTTATATCGGTTATTTCTTTCAATAAACTTAAATTTCTTCTACTTAATATAAATAAAAACATCATGAATTATACAGAAAAAAGAAAAACAAACAACAAAAAAAACCCAACAAACCTAACAACAATACAAAAGCTTTGGAAGGGTTTTTGGTACATCAGCTAAAAACTATGAAATCAGCATAGATTACGCTTTGCAATATTCAGGACATGTTAATTCTATTTCTTCATGCTTTCTTTGCCCCCAGGAGATAGCCATCTGAGCAGTGGATTCCTGGAATGCATTTAGCCTTCATTTTTATAATGAGGATACCAAAAAAAAAAAAAAAAAAAAAAAAATTTCTGCATTAGTGTAATCTTTTCACCTTTCAAAGGACACCTAAATATAATACCTTACAGGTACATTTCAAAGTAAAAAATGAAGTTATGTTGAAAGCAAGTAACTTTTGTCCCTCTTAGGATATACCTTAACACAAATTTGATTTTGATGAGCCCAAACTAAGATGATGTTGTTTATCTACAGCTTCCATGGCCCATGAGTGCCCCCTCCCAGGGGTGGTGAAAATGGGGCTGCTGAAATCGAGGAGCTAGTGATCAAAGAGGATGTTAAGGGGGCCATGAAACAGCAAGGCTGGAGTGCAGTTCACCTGCTGAACCTCGGTGGCTGCCCTTATGGCCATGGAAACCACATTTTACCCATGACAGGAGGGTGCCACTTCCTTTTAATCTTTGATAAACTTATTTCAGAAGGGAACCCAGCTATCTCCTTCACTGCTATCTTCCCACCAGCCTCATTCTTACCCAGCCAAACCTATCAGCACTGCTCCCAGGAAGAGGAGAGCAACTATTGTTGCTGACTGCATGGGGGACCACCACATTGGACCCTGCATTAGTGTCCAGTTTTACAGATTGAACAATGAACAACAAAGCTGTTCTGGAGAAAAGATGTATAATTTAGGTGAGAAGTATTAACTGAAAAACAGCTATACAAAATGAAAATCATTAGTGTGTTGCTTTTAAGCCCAGCTCCCAATAGTAGTAGTATAGAAAGGTTACCACTCTGTTTCATTTTTTACCATATTGTTTGGGTTATTTGATAGTTGGACATTTAGATAAGTTGTGTGAAGGTGTGTAGAAAGATATAATAGGACTTTATGATAAATCAAACACGCAATTTTAGTACATAGAAAATTTAATTTTAAATAACTTAAAATATTTCATCATTAAGAAATTTTTTTGACCAGTAAGGGGATCACAACTGTTGGCTCGGTGCCATCCACACCACACTCAGCCAGTGAGCGCACCGGCCATCCCCATATAGGATCCGAACCCGCGGCCTCGGCGCTATCAGTGTTTCACTCTCCCGAGTGAGCCATGTGGCCGGCCCATCATTAAGAAATTTTAATTCAATGACTTGGCAGAGTCTTAAGAAAATGTTTGGGCCTCATCTGAAATTAGTTCAGAGAAACAGAAATAACCAAAAATATATGTATACGTGTGTGTACACACACACACACACACACACACACATATACATACACACATACATATATACGTATATACATATATTCACATATATGTATATATAAAAGATATGTACTCAAGATATATATAGATTCAAAGATATATATAGGGATTATATATCTATATATAGATATACATATACCTCTTCACACACAGGTATCTCTCTGTGTGCATGTGTGTACCTATGTGTGTGTGTGTATGTATGGTGGTAGAATTCTCTAATTTTACTCATGGCACATATTGTGGAAAGCTTATCCCAAAAAGGGGGACATTAATCATATGTGGAACAGATCTCTGCTCTTCTGCTTTTTTTTTCAATTAAAAATAAAAAAAAAATTATTTCTACTTTTCCACTTTTAACTACTGTAGTCTTCTTTAAAATTGCTAATTCAGACAGGGAATAAAACTCACTTTCGCAGCATCAGAGATGATTCTGAGCTGGAACCTGAGTATGCACGTGGGCCTATTTCCTGTCTTCAGGCAGACAGATGAACTAAAGCTACTAGTAGAGCTGCACTGTCTATTCTTTGCTTAAAAGGTTACATTTCTCAACTACTGGGTCACAAACATCTATTTCATGAAGTGATTTTCGTAAAATAATCTTTTCTTTAGCTACAGATACAGTAAAGTAGCGATGCACAATTAAGTTTTTAGCTTGCTTCCAATCTGACTTATTTTTCTAGAAAAGTTTCCTCCAAGGTTAGTAGCAGTAACAAGCATGGCAGAAAGAGAAATGTGGTTCTTTATGGGAGTGAAACTATTTCAAGCAGTTATGTCTTCTCAGCAAAATGTTTTGTAGAAGTTTCTTGGGAGCACAACACTTTCCTTTAATGTCCACCCATAGACTTGTGTTCTCACATGTATAAAAGTTAACCCGGGGGTTTCCAAAGTCCTTCATACTTTCACTTTTGCATCGCCTGTTAAAGTGCAATTAAAAAAATTCCATGATTCACTAAATGTACGAAGTTGTTAAAAATTACTGACAAATATGCCAATTTAGAACCTAAATTTGGGTTTACATACTTAAAATCAAGCATTAAGACCAAAACAGACCCTGAAAATTTCATTTTCATAGGAGACTTGCACAGAAAGAACATATTTGTGTTGTGTGTGTGTATAGAAGTATTTTTGTTTCCTTAACTTGTCTCTGTTGTATGCACACAACTAGGAGAAGATGGTTTTCTTTGTTTATTTTGGTTTGGCCAAGGATGCTCATAAAATATTTGAATTATGAAGGACTTTGTTTTATTTAAGTGGTGAAAATTATAGTTCTTTATCTATGAAAAAGATTTGTCTAGGTGAATAAATAGGAAAAATACAAAAAATTAGGAAAATATGTAAACCCAATTTATGAGGTATTTCAAAAATACAATGACAGTAAAAATTCTCTTTCCTGGGCCGGCCCGTGGCTCACTTGGGTGAGCGTGGTGCTGACAACACCAAGTCAAGGGTTAAGATCCCCTTACCGGTCATCTTTAAAAAAAAGAAAAAAAAAATTCTCTTTCCTGGGCCGGCCCGTGGCTCACTTGGGTGAGCGTGGTGCTGACAACACCAAGTCAAGGGTTAAGATCCCCTTACCGGTCATCTTTAAAAAAAAGAAAAAAAAAATTCTCTTTCCCACAATTTGCAACTGCCAGACTTCCTGCTTTAGTCTTTCTGTCCTTTGAAGAAACTCAGAAGAGTCTGAGATAAAAGTCTTTTTGAGGATGTGAGGGTTGCATTAGCTCAGAACAAAGTCAGAAAAGGAAAGTAATAAGCAATATTTACATGTCTTTGTATGACAATAAAAATATTTCCTTAAAAGTTAAGTTTTTTTTTTTTCAGTCCTATAAACACTTTTATAGGGCACATGATTGTCTATGTGACTACTCTTTCCAGAAGGAGGTTTTTTGTTTTTAAATACTAGGGAAGCATGACTTATTCAAATTAGATTTTCCATGCTATATTTAGTTTTACAGATATGTTTAGTTCTAAAACTGTGGTTTACTGTATTCTGGGGAGAACATGTACATAAAAAAAAATCCCAGGAAACCCTTACACTCAACTCAGACACAGTCAATTTTAACATTCCGTCTATGATCTCTCAGTTCCTGTAGCTTATTGCTTCCATTAACTAGAAATCCCTGAATTCTCTGTATCTAACTTTCAATGGCTAGTGTCTGAGAAAGTGACCTATTATCACTTTTTCTGAATAGCTAAGTTTTAAACATTTCTCAAAGCTTTTAAAAAATATTTTTCTGAGACTTAAATAGGTTGTTACTCTTACATAAAAAGAACCAGGAATTCCCAGCAAACAGATTTCAATATGTATAATGCATACACCAGAAACACACAGATCACACATGAATATACTCTCAGTCAACACACAAGCATTCATTCAAGGAGTAAACCAGTAATGAGCCAAACATACATACATGTGCAAATGTACAAATGACAGCGAATTATTTTAGATTCTAACGTCCTTTGAATATTAAAAATGAGCCAAGAGACAGCTCGTGTGACATTTGGTATGAAAGCTCCAGATTGCAATTTTCATGTAGAAGTAGCTTCATATCACATCTCGTGAGTTTCGTATCGCACAGCAAAGGACCATGCTGAATATCATGCCAAAGATCTGAAACAGAAAGAACCACTTGTTAGTGACTTTCAAATGTGTACTGATTGATGAAGAGGTCAGCAAACTGCCTGGATGTCTAACTCAAGTTAACAAATAATTACAACCAATAATTACTGGTTATAAATGGCTACCGGGTAAAAACTTCCATTTTAACTCTGCTTAAAATATATCGCTATATTATCATTGTTAACAAGTAACAAGGCTCTGCTTTAAGAAAAGGGCTCTGTTTCTGGCTTATGAAACAGTTCTTAATTGTGAAAGACTGAAACACTACTTGTTTTGGAATCTTGTATTTTAGGTTAATCCCAGATCTCTTTTATATAATTATTTTGAAAAATGTGTTCATAACCACTTGTTGTTTGAATATGCTTGTGGTCTAAATAGTTTATTGTTGGAAAAGCTTTAAATTTTCACAACACTAACCACATATTAAAAAGGGGAGCATATTTTAATTTCTGGTCAGTTTCTAAGTGCAAATGATGCTTCACTGTTTAACTCAATAATTTTACCAAAGCATAAATCGAGGTGTTTGAACTATGACATCATTGACTTCTGCTTCTTGGATAGCTCTCTGACAAGCAAAATACTTGGGCTGAATCAATATCCACTTATATGGTTTGTACAGAAGAATGCCAAAAGATACTTTTTGTCCTCAGTCATTTCCCTTACAATTTTGCAGAGCCCTTCCTTGAAACTCTACTGGTGGGCACCATTTTATAATCTACTGTTAACATTTGCCACAGCACTGTGGTTCTCTCAATCCTATCCAAAGTCAAACTAGGCTCTGTAAATGCTAAATTAACAGGGCATGAATGATCAGCTGTTTGGGAAGGGAAGGGGTAGACTTAGGTAAGGAGTAGGATTACAAGCGTCAGGCGGACAGAACTCAGTAACAATGTGCGGCAAGGGAGACACCTACTGGACATTTAGTTAACTGATTACCGTGCAACTCTTACCTTATAAAGAAAATAAAGAAACCCCGGAAGTGCTGATTCACGGAGGGCATTTCCCCCTTTACCATGGATGTAAGGTTGGAGGCAACCCCTACTTCATCCTGGTTGTACTCTGAAGGGATCGCTCAGAAAGAGAGTACTTCAGTCTCAGCCTGCTGCTGACATGAGTCAGGGGTAATGGCTTCTAGATGGTTCATTTGTTGAGGCTACAGAATTGTTAGGAGAGTCTGTTTGACACCTCCATTATACAGCACTTTTTCAAACCTCCAGCCTCAGGATTGTCCTTGGGGAGCTGCAGACTTGCAACCAGGCTAACCCCAGAGCAGGTGGGGAGGGCCTGAGAGATGTCCCTGGTTTTGGAGGCCCTCAGCATAGTGTTCCCAGACACTCCTCCCACCCCTGCCACTGCCTCCACCCTGTGCTCTAATACAGAAAAGGAGAAAGGTGTTTGCGTGTCTCCTGAGAGCTGCCAATTCATTGATTTCCCCACAATTCCCACAGCCCCCACCTTTGTTTAGGCCGTTATATAGAGAAGGCCAGAGAGTAAGTGCTGTCTTAGCATTAGCTATTATCACCCAAGCCCCGGACAATGGAAATCACCTCTGCACTGGCCTCCCTGACTCCACTCTTGCCTCCCTTCAACCTTTCCTCCATCTTGCACCACAAGTCCTTCTAACCCTTGGCAGCTCCTCTCTCCTTAAGGATAAAATTCAGCCTCTTGAAAGGGCTCATAAAGACCTCAGTGAGTAGACCCGACACCCTCTCCAGTGCCACGTCTTCCTGCTCCTACTATACCCGTCTGCTGCTATCAATTCTTCCCGCACACTCTTCTTTTGTACTTTAGAAGTGCTGGGCCACCTACAGGTGCCTGGATACACTACAGGTGCCTGGATACACTCACCTTCTCATAAACTATTCCCCTTGCCTGGATTCTGGGTTTGGGAACACTCAAATTATTCAGAGATCTAGCATTTACTGAGTGCGCTATGTTCCAGACACTTTATATATATTAATTTTTAATAATACTTTACATGTAGTATCCCATTTAATCTTCACAACAATCTTATGAGGTTGGTATATTAAAATCCCCATTTTACAGATGAGGGAATTAAAGCACAGGGAAATTAAGAAAATTTTCTATGATCCCAGGACTTGTAAGTAGTGAAGTCAGGTGTTGAATCCAGACTGTGTAATGCCAGAGCTCACCCTGATTAATTACTATGCCATGCCGCCTCTTCAAATCACAGGTGAGAGAGATTTACCTGATATTATTTTGAATTTCTAACAGTAAGAAGAGACCCAGAATTGATAATCACTTATCTAGGTTAAGATTGGTGGCCTTGAAATGTGAAGTTATCACAGTGATAAACTCGAGATTATAATTAGGTAAAAGTTGAAATTTATTATGTTTTATGGGACTAAGGATTGATATATTTAATTAGCTTTGTTCTTAGAAGATGGCTGTGAATAAATGTCTTTGTCCTTTATGAAAATTGTCTCAATATACTGCCACATCACGCTTGAACAAAAATAAGATACAAAGGTTCAAGGCTTCTTAGAGGGCAAAATAGGTAAGTTCTGGAACTTTCTCACCGTGAGACCTGCAATTCCAATACCGACAATTCCAATGAGCTGGAGGTTAACACTGATTATGGTCTCAATTTCATCAATGCAATTCTGTTTTGGAAAAAGAAAAGAAGTCAGGAATAAAAACTGATTGTATGTATGAATCATCACCCTGATCCAGTCCTTTCCATCTCTGCAGAACATCCTGTGAGAGTTAATCCATGTCAGCTTCTGCTCATATTTAAACCATTCCTCTTGGATAACATCATCCTGACAAGCTTAAAGCAAAAATGTAGGTTTTGGGAAAAATACAATCCTCTCCTTTTGGTGGGACTTTCCTATTTAGGCAGTGGCTGCTTCAGGGCCCTGAAATCTGGCTGGAGGAAGCTATTTCTCTGGGATCTGAGATATTTAAAAATTTGCATCCTCTTCTTACTTTCAGAAAAAAAAAAAAAGTAAAAAATCCCTAAAATAATAACCCCTTGTATTTGCATTGTCATTTACAGCTTAAAGGACTTTCTTTTTTAAAATTTAAAATTTTTTAAATTTTATTTTCTCTTCTCAATATACATTGAAGTCGATTTTCATGACCCTTTTCCTGTTCTTCTTCCCCCCTCCCTAAAGGACTTTCTATGTACTTGATTTAATTTACTATGCAAGGTTGGCATTACCTATTAAGAAACTAAAAAGTCTGTAAAGGTTCAAATTAAATAAAGAAAAGCCAAGACTTAGGAAAGCCAAATTGGTAAAGGAACATGAAAAACAAATTACATTGTATAACGCTGAACTTTAAAATAAAGCATTTATATGGTAGATCTATCTGTAGTTCTTTGAGAAACTTCCATACTGTTGTCCATAATGGCTGTGCTAATTTACAGTCCCACCAACAGTGTAGAAGAGTTCCCCTTTCCCCATATCCTTGCCAGCATTTGTTATTTTGGGTCTTTTTAATCAAACAACTACAGGTAGAGTAACCATATGATCCAGCAATCCCACTTCTGGGTATATACCCAAAGGAACGGAAATCATCATGTCAAAGGGACACCTGCACTCCCATGTTCACTGCAGCTCTATTTACAATAGCCAAGATATGGAACCAACTTAAGTGTCCACCGACAGACGACTGGATAAAGAAAATGTGGTATATACACACAATGGAATACTATTCAGCCATAAAAAAGAATGAAATTCTGCCTTTTGCAACAACATGGATGAGTCTGGAAAAAATTATGTTAAGTGAAATAAGCCAGAATAAGAAACAGAAACACCACATGTTCTCACTCATAACTGGCTGCTAGGAAGGGAGGGAGAGAGGGAGGGAAGAAGGGAAGAAGGAAGGAAGGAAGGAAAGGAAGAAAGAGAAGACCACAACAATATGTTGAACTTTCAGAAGGAGAGAACAAACCTAAGAATACTAGAGATGGGGGGGAGGGAGGCAGGGAGTTTGGGAGTGATGGGTTGGGTAAAGGGCATAAAGAAGTATCATGATTTGTAAGAATGAATATACTAACAATAAATAAAAAATTAAAAAAATAAATAAAATAAAGCATTTATTAAAAAAAACAACCCCCCCCCCCCCAAAAAAAAAGACCATTCTCTTCTGTGGTGCCTGAGGTGACCTGGGACGGGTCTCTATGCTTTCATCTGTGCCCATAACAAACCTATGCGGGATGGATTCAAAGGATCTTCATGGATGGGGGAGAAATTGGATAGGGAGCGGAGTAGGTCACCTGTGACCATTATTGGTTTCCCCGGCTTCAAAAGCTTCTATTTGGAGTCCTCTAAAGTAGAGGTATGCTCTCAACCCAACTGTATCCTCGGGCTGCTCAGGTCCTTCTACTTGTCACTGGTCAGCTCCCTTGGATACCCACGTAAGCTACATGAAACCCTCACCATTCTCCTTATGCCTCGTATCATACTTCATTCATTCACCATTCATTAATTCCACAAACATTTCTTGAGCAGCTAGCTTGCATCGGTTACTGGAATCGGGTAGTGGACATGGAGACAGTAAGACATGATTTCTTCTGCTCTCAAGGAGCTCACAGTTTCCAGAAGGACATAGGCCCACAAAAATAATACATTCTGGTAAAAGCTTGAAAACCACTGCTCTAGACAGTGGCTCCTTTTACTTACTGGAGAAAATGAGAGCCAACCTATTGCAAGTCTTCCAGCCTTTCCCTCCTGCACTGACACATTTACATGCTCCTTCCCTTCAGTGCCAGGCACTGGTGTAGGCAGTGCACACACAAACGGAGCAAGGCAGCACCACTCCAGACTTCTTTCCTCTCATCAGAGACCAAGAGGTGCCCTTCTTTGTTGAAAGTTAACTCCTTAGCTGGCCCTGGGTCTCATTCCCTCTCGTCTCCTCAGGAAGCTAGTTACCTCCTTTCCTTCCTATGCATTCAGCCTCTCCTCCATTGACTTCTCTACTCATCATATAACACCATGCTCAAGTTCCTTGATCTAAAACAAACAAAAACCCTCTCCTGATACTTTTCTTCTCTAGGTCTGCCCATAGGACTTCTCTAGTCCCCCCTTTCCTTCACAATCACCTTCTTTTTGTGAAAGACGAACTAAGAAAATATGTATTGGCTTTACTTGGTCAGAAAAGGAATACATGCTTACTGTAGAAATGTGGAAAAGAGATGTTTAAAAAAAAGAAAATAAGAAACATCAGTACTCCCTCCACTAAAAATAATAACTGACATTGTTTGTGGTTCTTACACATGCAAACGCACCCACACACTTAGTTCATTCTTTATATTCAACTGTGTCCTTTTTTAACTTCACATTACAACTTCAAAAATGTCTTGTTACACTAAAAATCCCTTGGAAACATGATTTTTAATGGCTGTAAAACATTTCATCATATGAATGTACCATAATTTATTTTAAAAAATCCCCTATTGTCACATATTAAGGCCTATTCAGTATTTTGTTCTAATGAATAATACTGCAATAAATACTGTTGTACAAAAATCTCTGTCCACATTTCTGATTCCTTTTACTTAGAATAAATTCTGAGAAGTGGAATTTCTGCATCAGAGGGCATGAACATACTTAACCCTCTAGTCTTATACAGTCATACTGACCTCCAAAACTATTGTACCAATTTCTCTGAAAATTCTCATTTCATGTCATTCTTGCCAAAACTGTATGCCATTATTAAGGGGGAGGAAAAAACAAAACAAAAAAACCCCCCAAAAAACAAAAACTGGGTCAATCTGATAGGTTAAACAACAGCATCTCTTTCATTTCAATTTGCTATTAATTTTTGAGATAACTTTTCATTGCCTATGTTTTTTATGTTTTTAATGGTAATTTGAGTTTCGTCTTTTATGAACTCTCTTTTCATGCCCTTTGTCCTGAGCCAAACAACTTGAAAGGGCGCCCCCTCTCTTCACATCTCGTTTCCTGCAAACCTGGGCTCTGTCTTCACTCTAATCCTTGTACCAAGTCACCAGTTACTTCCTTAAATGCAAATCCTGTCAGCTTTTCAGTGGTTACCTTAGTGGATCCTACTAGGCTGTTAGTTTCCCACACACAAACCATCACGTTTCTGCCTCTGGGCTGTTGCTTCTGCTGTTCCCTGTGCAGTCAGGCCTTCCCTCCCTTCTGCACAATGCTTGCATTATTCCTTCTCATTCTTGAGGATTTAGCTGAGACACACCTCCAGGTATACCTCCGGGCAGCCTTCCCCTGGCCCCAACCTCTGGCCTCTCCTAAGTGCCTTCCCCTCTGTGTGTCCACGGCACCATGCACACACTGTACACACCTCTATTACTGCACTCTATCTATGTCTGTGTTCACCTCTCCTATGAGACTGCAAATTCTTTGTGAGTAGAGACTTTTTCTTTTTCTTTTCTTTCTCTTTGTGTCCATAGTGTCTAACATAAGGTAGGTAGCTGAGAAATCCTGAACTGACCTCGACAGCAGCACCCAGCCCTGGTGACCATTCCCTCCCCGTCCCGTGGTGTCTCCTCACTTGTGTCTGGCTGCTCCTTCTAGTTTCCTTATTTGGCAACTCTTCTGCCCACCCTCAAATGTTGTTCCCAGGAGTTCTGCCTTGTCCTTCTTTTCTTCCAAATCTAATGAGTCAAATTCATATCTCTAGCTTTAAGATTCCCAGAAAGTACCCACAGTCAAACCTCTCTCCTGAGCCACAAACCAGATTTTCCAACTGCCTACTGGATATTTCCACTTGGAAGTTCCACTGGCTCCTCAAAATCACCATGCTAAACACTAAACTCATTTTCTTTTCTCCATAATTGGCTACTTCTCCTCTGTTCCTCAACTCAATAAATGACACCCATCATCTATGTAGGTGGTGAAGCCAGAAACCTAGCAGTGGAGTCTCTCCTCTTCTCTGATATATAGCTGGTCTCCAGCCCCACAGATTTCACTTTCTAAGCGAACTTTTCCTCTCTATTCCTGCCGCTCTATCCAGCTTGTATCAGCTAGTGACTCCTGGCTGACAGTGAGGATAGCAGCCTTCCTCAACTGGTCCCTGTTCATTTTCCATCAATTCTCCACACCACCACTAGAGCAAACTTGGTAAAATGCAAATCCCACCCCAGACTCTATCTTAATGGCTTCCTAAGCTGGCAGCACGAAGGCTAGACTTCTGGCTTCACAAAAGTACCCAAGGCCCTTCAGATTGGTCCGACCGCTTTGAAGCACTCATCTCCCATAGGCAGCCTGGCTTTCAGCCTCTCCCCACTGCTGGTGCTTGCTTGAATGCAGCCACTTTCTCTAGCCTGCATGCTTTTGCCCTGTCCCCTCTGCCTGGAGTATCCTGCTCTGAGCTCCTGTTCATCCTAACAGTCATATCGGGGAAGCCTCCTGTGGATCCTGGAGTCCCAAGCCCCACGTGAGTCTGCTGTGCTCCCTCTAGTGTAGCTCAGGTGGTCCCCAGCCAGACGTGGGCACTTCGAGGGCAGTGCTAGGTCTTGTTCATTTCATCCAACTCAGAAGGACCCAGTAAGTGTTCAGTGGGCAATTCATGACATAAGCTGAAATGAAAATCTCATCCATCCCTTCACAGCCAAATGCCTAAAAGCATCTCTATCATTCTCTCCACATTCCCTGAGTTCTCTTTCTTTCCCGCCCTGAGCCCGTGCTTTGCCCAACTACTCCACTGAAGCTGTGTGGCAAAGGTCACTAATGGTCTTCTAAGCACCAAACCCAGCAATTTTCAGTCTTCGTTTACTTTTCTCTTCCCAGCATTCGACTTTATGGGCAAACCATCTCCTCTCTTAGCTTTCCAGATACCATTCTTGTTGGATCCTCTTTGGATCTCAGATTCATCCTTCACAGCCTCTTGTTCTGGATCCATGTCCTCAGCTCACCCCTTAAATGACAGTGTCCTGACTCTTTCCTTATTGTATATACTCTCCCTGGGTATTGTCATCTACTCCTATGACTTCGGCTACTGCCATTATGCTGTGATTCCTACATCTGTGTCTTTATCTCATACTACCTGTAAGTCCCACAGGCACCTAAAGTACAAACTTGACCAAAACCGAAGTTTTCATTTTCCTCCCGCACCTGCTCCTTTCCCTGGATTCACCACTCTCAGTGAGCAGAGCCTCTTCCTATCTGGTCATCCAAGCAGAACTCTGGAAGTCTCAATCTCCTCCCTTTCACTCTCCACTTATACTCAGCAAGTCACCCCGTTCTGTAGGTTCTACCTCCTGAACATCTCTTGAGTCCGTTGCTTCCTCTTCATCTCTACTGTTTGTGACTTGCTTTAACCCCTCATCCTCTCTGGCTGGGGCATCCACAAGTGCCACCTAAGTGGTCTCCTTCCATTAATCTCCAACCTCCTCTTCTACCCTTCACATTCAGCAGCCAAGTACTTTGTTCTACAACACAAAACTGATTATGTTAATTCTCTGTTAAAAGCAATGGCTTTCTCAAACCTCCAGGTGTAAAATCATGCCTTTGCCTGTCTCTCCCAAAATGTCACTCACCATTCCCTCCGGGCTCCCTGTTCTCCTACAGTCCTGAGTTTCACACTGCCATACCTCTGTTCCTGCTGCTTTCTGGGCCTGGAATGACCTTCCTTTATCAAAACTCAGCTCAAGGATCCCCTCCTCTAAGAAGCTTTCCTAACTGTACTGTGTTTCCGTGGTACCTTGAACAGACTTCTCACAGGGCACTATCACCCTTACCTAGTCTGTGAGACCTCTGAGGGCAGGGATCATGTCTTTTTCATCTTTGAGTTCCCAGCAACTGGCATGGTGCCTGACACACAGCACTTAATAAATGAAGCATTTATCAGTGCTGTGACTCCCAGGGAGAGGTGTGGGGAAACATTCTTGGGGCACACATCTCTGGCCCTGGTGAGCTTAATTAATACCATAAGAATGTGGCATCTTTACTGGCAAGTCAGCCTATCATCATTCCCTAGGGCACCAAGAGACTGACTGAGCATTGTTTCATCTGTTTTACATGGAATAAGGTTGAGGCACAGAAGCCACTGGGAGAGAGCCTCCTAGAATCCCTCGGAGGTAGGACCTGAGCCTCCCTGCCTCTACCCTGAAGGCAAAAACCATCACGCACTACACATAGGGTAGGTAGGAACCCTGGTAGAAGCTTACCTTGTGTCCTAGAAGCTCCTTTGGGCACGTGGGTTGGACCTGTTCAGAGCTTTCTTTTCCACAGCACTGAAACTAGACAGTCAGAAAAGAGACTTTAGGACATGGGAGGAGGAAGCAGCAGCTACAAGTCTGGGCATCGCTGCTAAGGGCCAAGGGTGCCAATGCAGCAAAGCGGCTATGAGGCCCAGTCACGGCAACCCAAGCTGCTATTTCTGGAAAGGGAGCGAAGAATCACATAATCATGCTAGCAAAACAAGAAAATGACTTTTCTAAAGCTGTCTGAGTTTTATGATAGGAAGTGACTCAAGGCAACCCAAACAAGGCAGGAAGCTAATTGACAGTGTCTGTGTAAATTGCTGCTTTTTAGACAGGAGTTGGGGCCTTTAGATTTCTTCCTTCAGAGCGGGAGTCATTTAACCTGCTGAGGAGTTAAAAGTTTTGTGAGCTTCAGGAAGGGCTCATTAACTGGGGATGGTCTGGGAAGGAGAGGAGAGGTGGCTGCAGTAAACCCCAGTGGTCAAGATCAGGCTTGAAGACCAGCCAGCAAACAGGTGTCCTGCCTTAGGGCTGGCCCTTTAAGACAAAGGAACCTGTGGGCTGGTTAACGTCCTTGGGGCAGCTGAGGCCAAACCATATAAATGGTGGGCACTTTCCAAGACATTCTTGTCACAGAGAGGAACCAGATACCTGAAGGAACTTGGCCCAGGAGTTCATAGCTACTTCTGCATATCACAGTGTTTAAGAAATCAGAATGACTCTGGCCTTGCCCGTCCCCTCTGTGAGCCTTCCTTGATTAACTGTATGTAGCTCTGAGCACTCCACGGACAGCACAGCCCCACAGAATGTTCCAGAAGGGAGTGTAGCTATCTCCTGCGACCCTATATTACAAATGAGGAAGCTGAATGGGTATCAGAGAGGCTGAGTAATTTGCTCAAAGTCACAAGGTTGTTAACTGGCAGAGCTGCAGCTAGAAACGAGCTTTTCTAACTTAAAGGTCACACTTATTTCTGTTACACCACAATGCCACCTTTTGAGAGAGCCTGATGTTTACTTGGGCTGCTTTCTTTGTCCTTGTTTGTGTTCTTTTGTCTCTTTTGGGCACGTCCTGACTCCCTCTTGTGAACTCTATGTGGTAGACCTCTTTCTACTCTAGCATTCTACACATAATGCAGAGCATGTCTCTTATATGGGCTAAAATAAGATGCTTCTAATTGGCTTTACTGAATTTACTTTCATTTTTAATCCAGATGATTAGAGAGAACCTGGCTCATGCATAAGCTTAAGAAGATGCAGTTTCAAGGAAGAAGTGAAGTTACTCACTGTTGAGTGGAAGGTAATGAGAGTCCCATTTCCCTTTCCCCTGTCTTTAAGGTAATCATTATAAGCCTCTTCATACATGGTCTGAACATGTCGTATAGCCTGAAAAAATACCAGAAAAATTAAGGGGACCACGAGTAGGAAGTTTCAAATGTCCTCCTAGCATCAAGGAAAATCTCCTCTTCCATATCCTTCAAAATACTGCCTTTCCATATGTTTACCTGTATCTTAAGATAATTCTGCATATATGGAGCAGATTATAGATCCTGGTGATTCTAAGATGCTTTTGAAGATGGAAGGATAGACTAACTAAGAATAGTTTTCATGGACCAGGAAGATTTCTTAGGGTAGAGGTTTCTAAATCTAATTGGACCCTAGATCCCTGGGCTCCACCCAGGTGATTCTGATACACAGTCAGGTTGGGACCTATGCAATCTTGGTACCCCACTGCTTAAAAGGACTCAAGTCCTTTCATGACATGTTTAAAAGATGTTTATCACCAAGGAAACTTCCTGCACTCAAATATGTATAGCTTAGAGAATGCTTTATCTAATATAAGGGCATGTGACCCCAAATCCACAGAGATCTCTAAAGGTCCTAAGATCAAATTCCACTTCCATATGGAGCTGAATTTAAACTAACCTATGAATAAAACCAGCTACTTCAGGAAAATCCCAAAAGAGGTGGCATTTATTATTACCACTGTTTTGGTCTAAAATAAGTGCATAAACACAATATTGATGGCTCATGAATTAATCTGAAATATAGTAAAACTAAGCTTCCATCTTTCTGCCTTTTTCTTTCCATTCTTCTCTAAGCCACAGTGTGTTTTACCTTTCTAAGAAGGCCTCTTTCTCTGTGGGTTCTCCTGACACCTATTCGGGACACCTCCAGTCAGGCAGCAAATCTAAACTGGCTTCACTGGCACATAGCAGATCAGGCTTTATTCTCTGAGGATGATGTGGCCTCTGACCAGGCCAAGCCTTAAGGACAGATGACAATCTGATAAGGGATGAGGATATATGTTCTTCCTTCATCCCTCTTTCTCATGTCTGTAATCTAGCTCTTACCCCATTTCAAACTGGGGATAATCTTAGACTAGAGATCCTTTCTTTAAGAGTCATAGACCATGTTATAAAGCTAATGAAAGCTATGAACTATCTCCCCATCAAAATGTATGCACACATGAGGGTGCTTCAAAAAATTCATGGAAAAATAGAATTAAAAAATAATATGAGTCTGTCTACGAGCATTTTGAAGCCCCCTTGCATATGCATGCACGCTCACCCTCACATAATGCTCAGCTCTGTACACTACTTCTAGCGTAAAAGGTTCTGCTTAAACTATAATTTTGGGGGCTATTTGGTTTCTTAGTAACATTGTGAATATCGGTATTCTCATATCCTTTGCCATAAAGAGAATACTTTAAACATCACGAAAAAAACATTGTAAGGAATTTTTACTTACTACGCCCTTGCCTATAAAAGCAAATACTCCAGTGGTTACTTCAGCAGCAAATATCACCAGTAGGCAAGTGAAAAACTGTAGAGGAGAGAAAATACTAATTTCATTAATTTAATACCTTTTCAATTAATTTAGCCTCTTTGATTCTAGTTCCATTTGAAAAGCATTAGGCAGGGTTATTAGTTTGAATTGATCCACCAGGAGGCATTTGCCTCTTAGTCTCTTGATGAAATGGCTGTTTCTTTCTTGTAGTTTGTTCATTCATTCATTTATTCAGTCAGCAATTGTTTATTGAGCATCTACTCTGCACCAGGCACCGTCCTTGGCACAGGATATATAGTGGTAAACGAGATAAGATCCCAATGTCTCTGCTATCCTGGACCTTATATTGGACAGGGGAAGATATGATAAATGAGTAAAGAAATAAAAAACTGAATAAAATAATTCAGGCAGTGATATATAAATCCTACTGCCCAGAACAGTGCCTGGTACCTATGTGCTCAATAAATACTTGATGAACAAAAAACGTTCTGTAAAGATATAAAATAAAGTCAGGAGACAGAGTGATTGGCGGGGCCTAGCCTTGGGGAAGGGTGTGACTTGAGACTCTGTTCTCTGAGGAGGTGGGAGTGGAGGTGCGGGAGTCGGGGGGTCCTTCTGGACAGGCTTCTGTTCAGGTCCCTTGGGTTTGTGCTGATCGGACTAAGTTCAGTGACAAACAAGACAGAGAGATGTTCAGCAACAGGGAAAAGACAGAATGGATGGCTGAAGAAACAAGTTAGAAATTTTACACAGCAAGAGATCAGAAGCGGCAGCCAGAGTTGAAACATCCGAAGATGGCAATGAGTAATGAGAAATGAGAGGCTGCCTAACAAAACCGCTGTTTCCGACCCCCGTGGAGAAGCACAAACCTTCTCTCTTCCTGCCCCTCCTCTTCCCCCTCCTTGTTTCTCAGGCTACACTGGCATTGGATGTACAGCAGTTAACAGAAATGATGTTTTTTTTTTAAACAGAGGCTGTTTATTAAAATAAGCTACAAGAGAGATGTTTGATGACGTTATTAATCTCAACCAGAAATGCTTTTCTTGTAGATCACAGCACTTCCCTGGCTACAGGAATCTTTTAGCTGCCTCACCCACAGTGAAGTATCATTATTTAAATAACAATCATAATGGTCCCTCACAATTACTAGGCACATTTCCTCCCTAAACATCTTTGCACTAATGACCTCATTTTTTCTGCACTTTCCATATGAGGCAGGGACAAAAATAACATTATTCTTACATGAGAGATGGAGAAACCGAGATTCAAGGAGACGGAGTGAGTGCCAAGGGCTCAGCGAGCCTGTGGAGGAGCTGGACTCGGATGCCAGACATCCTGACTCCCCTCAGACCAATCCCCTCCTTCTCCCCACCCCACCACCCACCCCCTGCATCCCACTTACTGATCCGAGCACACACTGTGACTCCCGCATGGCTCCGCAGCATCCAAAGAACCCCACGGCCATCATCAGGGCCCCGGCTCCAACCAGCACGTAGAGCCCTGCAGGGAAGAGGTCAGGGGAGACCTTTCAGAGCCCGACTGTGCCTGGGAAGCAGGGAGTGGGTGGGACAGAGAGGGGGCTTTTGGTTAAGGAGAGAAGAGGTCACAGCAATAAGACACTGGTTTTGTGTGAAATGTCACCTTTAGAAGGCAACACCATAGATGGTGGACAGCAGGAGGTGGTGAAAGCTACAAGAAAACAGCTGACGAGGCCAGGAGATAAGGTAATATACACCAGTAACATTACTATTAATGTACTATTAGCTACATGTATTTTTAGGGCTCATTTTTTCGGGCACTTTGTTAAGCGCCTAGTATAGATTTATTAATACAATCTTTATGACAGCCTGGGAAGTAGGTACTATTATTACCTTCATTTTCAGACAGAGGAACTGGGCCCCAAAAGACTAAGCAATTTGCCCAAGGTCATGGAGTTGGTGTTTGGCAGAGCTGGGAGAAAAAGCCCTCATGCCTCAAATGCCAGCTCATCAGCATGACTCTACCCTGCCTCTCTAGCAACAGCAGCAGCCTTAGTTCGGGTGGTGATTTCGCTCACTACTTAAGTCCAGCCCCAGGAACAGTGGTTCTCACAGAGAAAGAAAAGGGCGGAAATGCTCTGGCTCTGAGGGAAATACAACCAGGCCTTTTCTTCTTTCCTTCTCTGACCCTGAGATAAGTTAGAACACTGTAAGGGCCTGGCACTTGACTTATTTGGAATGATGCTAACAGCCTCTATTTTACTTTCTGCATTTTACTCACATGAATCACCTGGGAACCACTCCCATTCACCCGAGACGTGGGGCTGGTGCCCCGCCTCTGTGGGGAACCCCTGGGCCTGGCATTCAGGGCTCTTCCTGGGGCTCCTCTGAGCTGCTGATAGTGGTCTGTGGGCAGACCTATTTGTTCACAGACACGGAGCCGCAGGGAGGCTGCTGTTTCCTGCACCGCCCCAGCCTGTCTTCAGGGTTCACCAGGGAGGGTAAAGCCCTGCTGCTCTGCAGTCCTGGGGCAGGTATTTATTTCCTGCTGCTGGTCTCAGCCACTTCCTCCTTTTCCTTTTCTCTGCAAGAATAATTTCATGGGGAATGGATGTGGTCATGAGAGAAATGATACCATATTAAAAATAACAGCATTGTTGGTCCCACTGCCTAATCACCTTACTGTCTTTGATTAGAGACATTTAACATAAGACATTATTAAAATAAGACATTTAAAGCTCACTCACTTCCATCATCTCCTTGGCTGCTCAAAACCACCTGGTTAAGGTAAGACTGTTATTATTTTTGTTTTACGAGTGGGGGTCAGAGGCAAGACGGCTGCAGGCAGGACTCACGGGCTCACCCTTCCCGCACTCCTATCACCGCCCCAGGGAAACAGGCTGAAGGAAGGGCAGCGACACCATTATTCAGTTCCCTCACAGAATGTCCCAGGGTGGGCCACCTGAGTATATCGATTTCCTGCTTAAAACGTTAATTGCCTCCGCATCGCCACTGCTGCAACTGCTACACGACAGTCTGCAGGTTCTGGATGGAGTCACGGCCTGCGGACTGTTACTGAAACCCCAAGGTCCGTTTGCTCACTGCTTAATAGTCAATAATTGAGAGACAAGTGTTGGTGTAAGGAGAGGTAGCCTTTAATCAGGAAGCCGGCAGCCTCGGGAAATGGTGGACTCATGTCTCAAAGACCATCTCCACTTTTTCCAGACTTGCCAAAGGGTTTTACAGGGACAGGTGGTAGAAGGGCGGATTCATGGTGACCTAAGCAGAGACGTGCAGGCATAACCATAAAATTGCAGGTAAACATCAAAGAACTCAGGTGGGAGCTGATTCTTGGTGACCATCCTCCATGAAGCCAAGTCACGTATTCAGTACCTGTAAACCTCAAAAAGATCTAGTTTAAGCTAGTAAAGAATAGCCAACTGGGTTAATAATTTCTTCTGTAATTATTCTGTGTACAATGTGAGAAAAAGTCATTATGTTCTAGCAATCATGTGAACAAGAATCATTGTATTCTAATGTACAGCTGCAAGCTATGTGGTTTGGGTTACAAGAGTAAAAAAAAAACTTTTAAATTCAGAAGTTCAACAAAATGGAGTCACTTCTGTTCAGGCTGTTACAGGACCAGCCTCCCTAAATCCTTATCCATCCTGCAGTCCAGCCACACGGGAACTCACCGCCATGTACCCCACCCTGCACTTTTCCATTTTGTGCCTTCGCAGGTTCTCATATTCGTCTCTCTCTCTCTAGATTTCAAGTCCACAGACAAATCTGATTGACTCTACCTAGGACATACCCAGCACAAGGCAGAATTCTCCAGTCAGTGTTTATTGGACCAGCAGATAAAGAAAGAGTAAGTCAGATCGGGAGTTCTGGACTGGCTGTCTGTCGTTGCCCATCTTTGCTTACAGATAGATGCTGGGAATACATTTCAGCAAACATCCGCAAAGCCACCTCAGGTTTGGGCTCCTCAAGGTCAGGCAGATGAAGATGGAGCCCTCCCACCCTGAGAAAGTCTGCAACACGGGATAGAGTGACACTCCCGACGAGGGGGTTCCGTGGAGAGAGGCAGGGGGTCTAAGGACAGAGCTACTCCCTACTGTGAAGGAGACTGCTTGGTGCCTCAGGCAACAATCCTTGCCCTTCTGAAATAATGGGCGCTACAAGAAAATTTGCTTATTTGAACGATATTCCATTCTCAGGCTATCAGAATCCCAGAGCTCATGGCAAAAACAACCTGAAACTGCCCTAGCAGCTTCGACTCCAGAAGCCTCTTCCCAGCAAATCTCTGTGGATGTGTGGGCCACGTGACTCGGCCCAATTCCAAATGAGCTCTACTTGTTGGAACTGAAGGGAAAATCAAAAGAAATTCTACAAATGGCAAAAATCCTTGGGTCTGCTGGATTCCAAATCTGGTTGTAGTACTCTGCACACCACAAGGCAACCTGTAGTTTCCAAGGATACCTTATCCTTTGTATGGTCTGTCCCTGAAAAAATAGTGGCTGAATGAGTAAATTAATTTCCAGCCTCAATTTAATTCCAAGATGGTTTCTGTAGAGCCCTCTCCTTCCCATAGCAGCACGTGTTACAAAAGTATGACCTATTTCCCAAATCCCTCATGCTTTCAGAGTCCTAGTTCCCTTGATTTGAAAAAGAGAAAGCACTTTGAAATTGCATTTTTATCATTGATGGCTGGGATTTGCAATGCCAATGGTCTCTAGTGACATTCTACCAATAAGAGCTTTCTCTGGGACACCTTCCCTGACAATTCTTTTTTAGGTTTAAGATAGTTCTTTTTAATCTAGAAGCATCATTTAAGTAAACACAGAAAAGAGAAAAGACCTACTAAAGCCTCTCTGCATAAAATCATTTAAAAATGGCTCCTCTCCTTTCTGGACTGGATGTCAGTATGGTCATCAATCTCAGTGGCTTTTGGCAGCAGACATTTTACATAACTTGCTAAAGACCATTATTCATCTAAACATTTTTTTATGCCTCTGCATAAAAACTCTCTGTCCCTCCCAGCTTCTCCTGAATGCATATAATTTATAAATATTTAGAATATCGGACGGACTTACTTTATGGGAAAGGGAAGGACTTGAGTTCTCTCAATAACAACAGAAGCAGAAGCTATCAGTTATTGAGCTGTTTTAAGCACTTAACATGTCTTGGAGTCACAGTCACTCAACACTAAGAGTAGTAACCACCACTTCTTGGTGGAGCAGCCTGCTCTTGGTGGCATCTGTACTATGCACTTGACAGACATTGTCTTAGGAACCTGCTGGCTGAGAAGTCTTGATGCTGTCAACTAGTCACTCATTCCGACTAAATGGCACCTAAGCCACTCTATCTTCCCTTCCTGTATTCTGCCCTGTAATCACATCCCTCACAGGCGACCCCTTCCTCAGCATGCCTTCATCACAGCAATAACATTGCCAATATTTATTGATGGCTCACCACACCACGGGTACTGTGCTTAAGCACAGTCACATTTCACAGCTGAGTAATCTGAGACTCAGATAAATTAAGAACTTTACCTAAGATTGCACAGGAGTAAGGGGTAAAACTGGAATTGAACCCAGGGTGGTCTACTCCAAAGGGCACACCCTTAACTCCCCCGCTGCACTTTCAGTAGGATCTCAGAAGAGCAGTGACTATCTTAGCTAGAAATCTGTTCATTCTGCAATTTATAAATGACAGGAGGGTCCTTTTTCTTCTTCCTTCAGAAAAGTGCTTGAGGTGTCCAGACTTGCGATTCCCGGGTTTTCCTTTGAAAGCACAGGGCTGGGAGCCAGAAATCCAGACCTGCCAACTTTGGCTTTAGGTAAGTCCTCTTATTCTTCAGTTTTGTGATCTGCAATGAGGAAATGACTATCTACTCTAACTTTTATTGTCTTTAACTCACCACTATACAAATGAGGATACTTTAACTTATTGTAAAAATGCTTTGGGGAAATGATCTCAACAACGTAAGCTGTAGTACCTCCCTGTTATCCAGCTACCAAGGCTGTCAGGTACAACTGAAAACCAAGAAGTAAACAAAAAAAAAATCACTGAAAGAGTGAGTCAGAGTTTTTAAAAAGGCAAGTCAACCCCTTAATGTTCAGTGCTGGAACGCTTTCCTTACACATAACCTCCAGCCGCAATCGAAGCCAGGCTCCAGGACTCTGAATTCAACAGGGAGAGACAGCTGCAGGCAGGCTGCGATCCTGGAGAACCACGCGGCTGCTGCGAGCGTGGGCAACCCCTTCACGGGGAAAACCTGCTGCTACCCTCTGCTCACAGACGTGACTTCATGCGCTTGAGCCCACAGCCTCTCCAGGTTTCCGAAGGCTGAAGGGATCACTCTTCACTCTGTGCTCCTAGAAAGAAGACCCCACCCACGAGGCAGGCCAGAGAGGGGTCATAACAGGAAGTCAGATGGGCAGGTTGCCAGAATTTGGAAGACACAGGGGCTTCTCCTAAGAGTTCACTGAAAGAGACTAGAGTGGAGAAGGTCTAGGAAACACCAAGTAACACGAGCCCTCCTGCTGCTAGCTCCGCTCCTGCCAGGTTCTCCCTTCTTCGCCTTAGCAACCAGTGGACACAGAGACCCCGAATCGGCCTCCAGGCCTCAGCCTGGACCCAGTGGTCTTGAGAAGGTGGCAGTCAGTCTGACTACTCTCTCTCCCTGTCCTCATTTCCCAGCTGGATCCTCCTGACCTCGCCTAGGACCTACCACTGCCCCTGGCTTGCAATCATGTCTGTATCTTTATCACAGGAAGGGAAACTCTCTCCATCATCAAGGAGGTAGAGTCAACGGTGCCAGAAAGCAAAGCAGCCCCCAAGAGATAGGAAAATCTCTCTTATAAAGCTCGGCAGCCATCCACCCAAAAGCAGGGAGCTAGATGCCGTATGTATCTTCCTGGGGTCCAGCTCAGAGACAGGCCCCCCTCCAGAGAGACTGGGAGGACTTATTTCTTTAAGAACTACTTCAACGTCAAGCCTGTTTAAGACACTCTATAACAAAAGGGTGTAAGAGTTTAATGGGCTGATTGTTCTGGAATCTATTCTGAAAAGAAAATACTCACACAGATCAGTGAACAGTGCCCTGTGACATGAAATGAAATTTTCCAAAAACTGGGCCTGCTTCTTTTTTAAAGTCCTATTACCTAACACTTTATGCCATGTGAGTCCATAAATGGTATCCTAGTGTATTTTTCTTCTTGTTTTATTGCTACAGAGCAGGTATCTTTCTTATCTGGAAAATTATTTATTGAGGAAAAAATGTCAATATCTACAAACACGTGTATTTCTCAATTTATATTATAAGAAATTATGAAGTGGAGAAAAGGTCCCTGACTTTACAAAGGATTGTTGCCACTGTCCAGAGAGGCAGCACCGGGAAGCAGAGCAAGCACAGGCCTGGGTGTCAGCAGACCTGCGTTCTGGGCTGAGTCCTCCCAGGGAGAGCTGGGGAACCATGGCTGACTGCCAGCCCCCGTTGCTTAACCAGGGCTTAGTTTCCTAAGTTCTTAGTTTCCCTGTTCTGCCTAGTGCTAAGTTACTATGATTACCCACTTCCCTAAACTTTGAGCACTGAGGGACCATGAGTATCTTTACCACCAGCCACTCTGGGCTGACTTAGAGAGGGGAGATGTGGCTGGGGAAGAAGGAAGGGTGAGTAAGCCCATATCTAGGTCCTGCACCACCAAGGACAAGCAAGGATTCAGGCCTTGTGTGTGGACTGCTGTTTTCCTGACCCAGAATTCACTTCTTTCTCTCCGTTAGATAAACGAACCTCCTCCATTCTCAGTCGTGTGGCTTGACTCACCTCAAGCTCCAAGGTAGGCACAAAGCCCAGGCTTGTGCTAACAGTAGCTGGTTTAGGGATGGGCATTAGACCCAAAATTGCCAATGTGAGTTAGGTGTGGGACCTCAGTCAGATTGGTTGGAATGAAACCATCATGTTCTTCTACTGGGGTTACTCTGGAGATGGAGACTAGAGCCACTGGCAGTGGTGTTATCATGTGGAGACGAAACTTGCCTGAGAATGGAGCCAGAGGAAAGCAGAGCCACGAGATGGCTACAGGCTGGATCTCATCATGCCAGTGAGTCCCTGAGATGAGTACTAATCCTGGGCTTTTCAGTCGTGTGACATAATTAATTTCTGTGTTGCTCAAGTCAATTTGAGTAGGTTCCTATGATTTGTAATAGAGTCCTGTCAGATATATCCATAAAGACACGACATAACTCATTCCTCACATCTCAGGCAACGTGCATATTGCCTTGGTTTAGATTAGAAAACAGAATCAGGAATGTTTGTTCACCCTCCTGCTCAACACAGCAATCTCCTGAATCGATAAACACCCTATTCTGATTTTCTGCCACATTAATGGTTAAAAACGGACCTAACGGGGAGTTCGCTTTCATCTGTGGAAGTCTGGTCAACTTTTTTAAATCAAATCATTAAAAAGATTTTACATTGAATCCAAATCTATGCCTGTGAGGGTGGTATCAGCACTTTGCTTCTGGAGCAGCAGAGACAGAGGCTGCTCACTGGGACTGGCTTCCATCCTTAGCTGCACACAACTGCCCCTCTCCCCGACTGGGCAGGAGCTGCCTTTCTTCTGTAATTCAGGCTTCCACCTGAAAATCATGAATTATTACTTCTGGGCTTGTCTCTATCACTGATATCTTTTGC